CATATATATATATATATATATATGTATGTATGCTGGTTTGTGTGTTCTCCAACACAACTCTCACAACGCTTCTCTGAACATACTCGCTCTCCCAACGGGGAGCTTTCCTAACAGATGAGATACATATTGATGAAGATAGATATAGATAGATAGATATTGATGGACGTATGGATGGATGATTGAGAGACACAGGCAGAAGAGTCTTGACTAATTCAAGGGAAGCAGTCAAGGCCATTCTGAAAACAACGCGTGTTGAAGCATCCTCCCAGGGCCGGCCCAGAAGCACTAGGAAACCCTAGGATTGGGCCCCTGCCACTTACCGAAGAGGGGCATGGGGCTGGCCACTTGGACACACTCTGCTATGTAGCCCCAGTCTGCCATCTTTGTGTACCTCTGCTCTCTCGATCGGCCGTGGAGCTAACAGGGGGCAGAAAAAGGTGCAGTTGCCACGAATGAAAACACACACAGCAAGCCTCGGATGCCTTCAAGCCTGCTCAGCTGGGGAACTCTGGGAACTGAAGTCCACAGGTCTTAAAAGCTGCCAAGCTGGGAGACACCCCCCCCTCCGCTTCTCTCTCTGCCTCTCTGAACTTTTGCCCCCCAGGAAGAGGAAGAACGGGATAGGAATGCTACCTCCCTCTTCCTCTCTGAGCCCCACCCCCCACCCCCGGACGGGGAACAGCCGAAGGAGAACTAGCACTCGGATTTGCCGAGTATCCAGGCCTCCATCCCAACCGGAGTTAAGGAAAACAAGGCTTCCTATACCGTGACCAACGAGGCTCCCCATTCTCGGAGGTGGGGGATCAGTTTATGAGCCAGGTTCATTTTCTCTTGCACGCCTGTTCTGATCTTAACCGTCAGGGGAACATCCAGGACCTGGGAGAGAAAAAGAAGAGGGAAAAATGGAGACGGGGTTACTGTCCCACTCACACACACTCCCCCGTGTAACAGTGGCTTACTGGGACCAGCCAGCTCGCCAGAAATCCAAAGACCTAACTGGCCAGCACGCATGTGCACACCAGAAACTTGAAGCCCAACTGGTTGGCGCACGCATGTGCACCGGCCAGCTTGTCTTTGTGTTTGCGGTGCTGCAGCGCGCATACGGGCATTCCGGTTTGGGCCCTCAGTGCAGAAAAGGTTCGCCATCACTGACATATCGTGCTCCTGTGCATTTGGTTTTTCCTTTTTTCACCACTGAATTTCATTTTGTTAGACAGGAGAGAACTTTGATTATTTGACTGATGTGTAAATACTTTAACATGCACAAAGAGAGAGACAGAGAGGGAGAGGGAGGAAGAGAGAGAGAGAGAAAGAGAGAGAGGGAGGGAGAGGGAAGGAGATAGAGAGGGAGAGGGAGGGAGAGAGGGAGAGAGAGAGAGGGAAGGAAGAGAGAGGGAGAGAGAGGAAGGGAGAGGGAGGTAGGAGGGAGGGAGAGAGAAAGAGAGAGAGGGAAGGAGATAGAGAGGGGGAGAGAGGGACAGAGAGAGAGGGGGAGGGAGAGAAAGGGAGGGAGGGAGCGAGGGAAGGAGATAGAGAGGGAGGGAGGGAGAGTGGGTAGGAGGGAGAGAGGGAAGGAGATAGAAGAGGGGGAGACAGAGAGAGGGAGAGAAGGAAGGAGATAGAGAGGAAGAGAGAGGGAGAGAGAGGGGGGAGGAGATAGAGAGGGAGAGTGAGAGAGAGATGGAGGGAAGGAAGAGAGGGGGAGAGGGAGGGAGAGGGAGGGAGGGAGAGAGAGAGAGAGGGAAGGAGATAGAGAGGGGGAGAGAGAGACGGAGAGAGAGGGGGAGGGAGAGAAAGAGGGAGGGAGGGAGAGAGGGAAGGAGATAGAGAGGGAGAGGGAGGGAGAGATGGAGGGAAGGAAGAGAGGGGGAGAGGGAGGGAGAGGGAGGGAGGGAGAGAGAGAGAGAGGGAAGGAGATAGAGAGGGGGAGAGAGAGACGGAGAGAGAGGGGGAGGGAGAGAAAGAGGGAGGGAGGGAGAGAGGGAAGGAGATAGAGAGGGAGAGGGAGGGAGAGATGGAGGGAAGGAAGAGAGGGGGAGAGGGAGGGAGAGGGAGGGAGGGAGAGAGGGAAGGAGATAGAGAGGGAGAGGGAGGGAGAGATGGAGGGAAGGAAGAGAGGGGGAGAGGGAGGGAGAGGGAGGGAGGGAGAGAGAGAGAG